ATGGCTTCAATAACCTTTTCAACTGGTTTACTTATTTTGGAAAAGTTTTGAAAAATAAAAAAAATTTTCCAGTAAACACGGGAAATTTTAATGTATAATTTTTCCCATAGCAACATCTAGAAAGGTCTAAAACTAAAACAGAAAAAAAACACCTAATCGAAAACAATCTGACTTAAAAGTAAAATTTTTGACAGTTCTAAGCATTATAAACTGCGTTTGAAATTCTATTTGGTTTAAACATATTTATTTAAGCTCGATTGCAAAACAAGTTCTTGCAACTTATATTAATCACTTTCGAGTCCGCGTCCTGGAACCAACCAGTACTGGTGTCATGTCCTGACCCGAGTAGGGCTCCAAGGCAGACACCTTAACCACCAGGCCACCGCTCCCCTTGAAATTGTATTTCATGGACTTAAAAATTTATAATACATGTACCTATATGGAAAGGACTTCATTTTCTATCTTACGTAATATTTTCTAATTGAAATTCACATCTTGGCAAAATAGAACATAATTATCTTTTATTTGACTAACCATTATATTTGGATCAATTAACCTATGTTGTAATAACTTTGCTTCCTCCATTTTTCCCGCCTTGAAGAGTTTTTCTACGTCACAACACTGCTCACCTAAGATGTTAGCAAGAGCCAAAACACCACCAACGCCACCTGAGGAAAAGACGAACTTTAAGATTAGATAGTTAAGATTAACTGCAACTGAAATACATGTACAAGAGAGCTCTGACCGGATCTGGCTTTCATTGAGTCCATCACTTTTAAGTGTCGCTCAAGCCGGTGCTAGGGAGCGTGAGAGTTGTTTCACTTTTTAATTATCCCTCATGTACAGATTCAATCAAACCAAGTCTGCATTTTTAATGTAATTGTGCTGTTTTTAATGCTTCCGAGGGACCACTATTTCCATAAAATTATTTAGGAATATTTTTGAAAGACAATTTATTAGACTGACTGTTTACTGAATATATTAAATTACAAATGTTAGCATACCAGTATATCTCAGTATATCTTTAATGAGCAACGGTCATTTTGTTGAATTCAATAATAACGCTCAGTTATCCTCTACTCGATTATAATTAGCCACAAAATCTTGTCCATATCAGAAATGTTGCCAGTTTAATAACTAGATCCTGAAAGGACTTACAGATGTTACCACTTTGATCTTACCTAATGTATATGAAGCCAGTAAAAAGCTGGCAGATCCAGAAAGAACTTGGAAATCATTTCCCTTTGTTGCATGTACCATGTACCCTATCTTTGCAATCTGAAAAACAAAATATCTGAGACTTAAAATGAAGGAACAAAGAGACACTGGCAGTACAAACAGATTTATCAGTAAAGGGAGACACTGCGACGTGAAATGTAAATGAAAAAAATAATCTAAGATATATATAGTGACAAATAAAATACTTACATCACCTCCGCTATCTTTTACTCCTGCTATATTTGGGTGTGACGAGAGATGAATTACTACTTCCGGTGCTAGATCTATCGCGGTGTTTCCCGGGACACTGTATAAAATGACAGGCACTGGGCTTGCATCCGCAACCTTAAAGATAAACGTATAATAACATCCTTGGTTAAAACAAACAATTGGAAAATATTCAAGTAACGTTACATACACATCGTTGCAAACAATCGTTTGTTTATAGATATACTATTTAATAGTAGTATGTATAGTGTTATTTCACTTTATTGACTAAAAAGTTTAAATAAAGGATAACTTACTAATATGAATGAGTTTTCATTCATTCTTGAAAGATTGGCCAAAGCCTAAAATTGTCGGTGCTGTGAACAATTTTACCTAGTAGAAGGAATGTGAATTATCATAAACGGGATATTACGGTGTTCCGTTAGGGCAAGCGCGTTTTCTCTGAGAACAAAAAGCGCGAAACATGACGGTACGAAGGTTACAGTGCAATGATGACAATACGACAGAACGATGGTGACAACACGACAGTGCGATGATGACAATACGACATCACCATCGTAATGTCTTGCTTCTCCATCATACTGTCGTGTTTCTCCATAGTACTGTCAATTTTCACGCTTTCCGTTCTCAGAGAAAACGCGCTGGCCCTAACGGAACACCGTAGGATATACCTTGGTATAATGAGAGATTAGTGCAGCGTTTGACATAAGCGACTTGTAGTAAGATGGCGTCACAACAAGTACCGCCTGCGCTCCAACTTTCGCCATCTTCTCACACATAGCGATGGTATCTCTGGTTGCTGTGTAAACGAAAAAAATACGACATCGTATAAAATACACTATAGAATAGGTTTTTGCCCTACTACATGGAAAGCAATGCAATCATTAAGGCTAATTTGGGCCTTCACGGCGGAAATTGATATTTTATTCTGCCAAAGAGCACTATCGTTGTCCCATTTATAAGGTTTACATTGTTTTAATCACTTAAATTTCGATAAGGAATTAATATCGTTCCGTGACATTTTGAATTATTCAGTCACACATCTAGTTAAACTCTTCTTTAACCAGTGAACGTCTGCCTACCCCGTTACTGTTTAGCGAAAATTTAATGTACTCACCACGTAGAGAATTCGGAAAAGCACTTTATATCTATCAAACTTAAAGATCTGTTTTATTAATAAAATTATTAAAAGAATCGTTCAAAAAAGTTTTGGATTTAACGTACTCAGAACCGTGTTTTCATATTAGTATTAATTCACACTATACTGGCAAGTAAGACCAAAATATTATGATGATGGCGTCCACTGACCATGTTCAGAAAAGAACAATTTAATTCAGCAGTCGTAAAACAGCAAAGTAGATCTAGAGTTGTAAAAACTGAATTTCCTTATTGCATATCAATGATATGTACGAGGGATGATTCAAAATAATGTAAAACTTTTGCTGTAAATGTTATAAATATAGTCCACATTTCGTATGTAAAATAACACCATCATGAATTGGAATATGTCACGCAGTAGCTTATTCCATAACGTCGTTGACTTCGGTTTATTAAATAGGCGACATGCGTACCAGACGACCATCAAGACCCAAGTTTAAAAGAAATTCTCAAAGCTCAAAATCAAATCCCAGGAAATTGATTGGTCAGAAACTGTCTTAAAATGTACACAGACCAATGAAAATCCTGAGATTTGAGACAGAACTCAGAAAAAAGTTTTATAAGCATGAGGCCTGTTCATATGTTACACTCAAGTTAATCTCACTCGTTCTGATGGCAATGAATATATTGTTGGAAAAAGACACTGCAACACACTTATTAATTCCCAGGTATAGCTGCACGTAGATAATTAAGGGATCAGAATCGAATAAAGAAGCTGTTCCTGCATGGATTGATATATGGCAAAATGAACCGAAGACATTTCTGCAGGAAAAATGATAAATATTTTCTATTGAAAGAAAATCTGCGCGCGCCGCATACGAGTCACTTTGGCTATAGTAACGTTTAATTAATATATGATGATCATTATTTTTCTTTCTTATCATATATTAAATTACATGTAAATTAATTTCAATAGATGGTTTACTTAATGTAAACAACCAGCAAAAGTGTCTCTCTTACAAACCAGTTTTTACAATGTAACTAAAACGATGATAACAAGGTCAAATTGAACGGTTTGTTAAATTCACAAACACGTTCTAAGTGTTAATATCATGTCGAAATGTGATACTTATATCAAAATTATACATTCAAACTTGTCGTCGAGATACAGAGCAATGTAATTTAAACTCTGGGCAATAGTCACTCACGGTCCTCTGTTAGGCGCCAAATGTCACAGGGTAAGAAAAATTTGCAACCTGATCGGGACTTGAACTCGGGAGCCCCGGAATACCGTATCGCGGTTCTAACGACCACTTACACATCATCTCCCCTGAATAGTGAATATTCTTAACTGTTACACCATCATACGTAATGATTACGAAAGGTTAATAAATAAACTAACATACATTCACAGCCTGCACCGGCTATAATAAGTTTATCTTTTCCCGCCATTTCGGACACCCTGCGCACGAGATCTATTCTCTCATCCTCTCTAAGGAACACATATTCACCGTTTGATCCCTGAACCACATAACCTATGCACAACAATAAAAGAAAAATAGCACTTAATATCAGAACAAGAGCAATCAGTGATCACATGTGTCGCCTCATGATGGCCAATTTCATGTTGGGACAAATTTTGTGACAGGCAGACGGACAGTGCACAACTAGACTTGGTACTGATCATTCCTGTGAAGTTTGGATAAAATTGCACCAGTAGTTTATGAGGAGTAGTCCGGACATGCTTTTGCGTATCTGGCAACACACAGAAAAAACACCTTTTTATCAAAGGGCCATAACTCAACCAAAAATCATTCAACCGGAAAACCCGTGCAATATGCGCAAGGACTTGAGCTACAGATCAATCCTGTCAAGTTTCATTGAAATTGCATTAGTGGTATAAGAGAAGTAGTCCGGACAAACTTTAAAATTAAAAATTATTAAAGGGCCATAACTCTGACAAAAATCATTGAACCGGAAAATGCTGACAACAGGCACAACTAGACATGGTACTGATCATTCCTGTAAAGTTTGGATGAAATTGCACCAATAGTTTATGAGGAGTAGTCCGGACAAGTTTTGTGACGGACGGACGGACAGACGGACGGACAGACAGACAGACGACGGAGAAGTGATCCCTATATGTCGCCACTACTCCGTAGAGGCAACACAAAAATCATGACAATTCTAATAATTAATTTGTATAACGTAAAATTTAAATTTTCTAGAAATATTTATCATTTTGAAATATGTATTCTTATTTTTTTCTTATTCTAAATACAAAATAAACATCATTTAATAGAACACACGAGAAAAATAATCTTAATATGACGCCAAACCCGCATGATGTCCTCGTGCTTGTGTACAGAAATTCATCCAACGAAAGTCAACCAGTGTACAAGTCCCTGTGAACATATTTATAAAAAATAACAATCATGTATACCTCTAAACGGAATTTTATTCCATTTTTCCATATTCTGTTGCAGTTTGTCATATGCAATAGTTTCGTCAGCATTGAAAGGTGTAACAATTGGTGGATATATCCCACTGATGTCCATCTTTGATGCTGCTGATGATGATGATGAAGCCATTCGTGACGATAACGATGAGGAATACGTTACAGATTTAGTCCAACCTTGAAATCCGCTGATAACAATTTGACCTAACGGTCTTATCCTTAAAACTCGAGCAAAAAGGCACGCCATATCTTAAGATTTTTTATGCATATACACCTAAACATAACAGATACAATCCGCGATGAACAACTATTAACTATATTCCGTTCATAAACATATCTGATTGTAGTAAACGAACCCCGCGTAATCCGATCGCGTGTAATTCCCACAGGAGTCCGTAAATATAAACAGGCCGTTTAAAAACCTGTTGTAACTCAACACCGTAGCTCGGATGGGTTATTGAAATAAATGTACAAATGTATATAATTTAAAACTATAATTTTGTTTTAATAAATAAGATAGTATCAGACTATCATAAATCAATGTTATGTTAATTTTTTTAAACGTCTTGTACATGCAATGAACGCGCACACTTAAAATATGCCATGTCATGAACTATTTATGCAATATGAATGATTCTGAATTTGAGAATGGTAGATGTAATAGACTGCCTGGTCAATGTTAAAGCGAATAATGAAATACTTTAAGTCACTTGTATAAATATTCACACAAAGCTAACCTGTATATCGACATAAAATATGTTTAATGTAATATTCTTTACCATTTTTCTAGTCATGTTTTAAAATACCCCCCCCTCTTTTTTTTATTAAGAAATGGAGGAAAATTGACATTTATAAAAAAAAACCTATTAAGCTACATGTATATATCTAACTTACGTAACTTTCTAGAACTTAAATAATTAGTTTTATTCAATAACTGTTACATTAACTGATAAAACTTCTTAATCGATTCAATATAAAGTATCGTTTTGTAAAAAGATTATCTTAACATTTAACAATAATTACTAATTAGATCTAACTTATTTGAAACATTACAAAATTGTTTATTTGTATAAATCTCAAAAAGTATACCTGTGTCATAATTTATCCAAAAACTGTAGTGATATTACATATATATTTCGTTTCGGATTTCCTTCAACCAGTGCTTTTTATATTTCAAAAGATTGACTTACAAAATAGTGTTTGGCCAACAGTTTTTTAATTCTGCCTAAAATCTAAAAAGACTGCCCCACTTTTTTTTGTAAACAAATCGTTATTGGTAAATTCTAATGGGTTTTCCAGAAATTTCGTTGGGATATCTGCATTATGTATTGTTTATGCGAACTTAATTATTAAATAAAAAGGAATTATGGCAAAATGAAAACTTATTTTGATATTCATCTGTGCACACACTTTGTTGGGCATAATGCCACTTTAAATAACTATGTCAGAAATAAAAGAAGCGAATCCCGATCTATTAAAAGAAGTGGTACTGATGATACACTGATGGCGGAAATATACAACCACTCATTTCTATTTATTTCACAGATAAGTAATAGAAAGAGCATCGAAACACGAGGCTATCTGATTTATACGAGGGGGCGCAGCCCCCGAGTATAAATCAGATTGCCGTGTGTTTCGATGTTCTTTCTCTTTTGTATCCTAGTCAAACATAAAAACACGTTCCCTGTTGTCACAATATGAAACCCCGGAGAAAAGTAACCAATGAACGAGTATCTAAATATGACATTTCTGTCGCTTTCCCTTTCTCTGCCGTCACAATAAGTAAACCCTAGCAAAAATGAGCCAATCAATGGGCATGCTCTGGAGTGCGGCGTCACACCGCACAACGTCCGTACCGCAAAACGTACGCGTGTGGACGTTTTGCGTCGCATATCGTACACAAGTGGACGTTTTGCGGTGCATATCGTACTTGGTACGTTTTGCGGCGAGAGTATGTCTTTTCGTCGCATATCGTCGCATATCGTCCAAATTTTCTGTATTAAAATATATTCATTATAAACGTTACTTTTATTGGTTCTGTCACTTTCATATTGTTTCAGGTAAAGATATGACGAAATAGACATTTAAGTGCAATATTTTTTGTGATCCTATATAATCCTGACTTTTTTTTATTTAAAAAAAAAGAAAGAAATATGCTTAATTAAGCCGAGGATGTTTTTTTCGAATATATTTTTTATGGAATGGAACCAAGCAGCAGCAGCAGCAGCAGCAGCAGAGATATAAAAACGATGATATTGAAATAAATGAAATCTTATAGACATACAGAAAAGGACGGCTCGGCTATACGGACGGACGAACCGGGGATTGGACTGAGTGAATGACAAAAAAATATTAAAATTAAGCTTTGCTTTCGACAATACTAAAACCGTATTATTTTATCGCCTGAAGAAAAAAACAAAAAAATTTCGCCTATAAGTTACATAGATAATGTGTAATAGAGTATATTATAACAAACATTCTTGAGCGTATAGGAAATGATGAAAAAGAAGTTCAATGTGTTCTATTTATAAAAACTAAAGCATATTTTAAAATATCGTAATGTAAGCCTTTTGTTTGAATGCCATAATGAATTTTATAATTGAACAATGTAAGTTTATAATTGAACACAGCAAAAAGGTCATGATGGCCATATATCGCCCACCTGTCTATAAAGGCTCCACATGACGAGGGTAGATAGCATTGAATATTAAGCTTTACAACAGCTTACTATACAGCAAGCTTTGTAACACCGCAAAACGTCCGTACCGCAAAACGTACGTATATGGACGTTTTGCGGCGCATATCGTCCACATTTTTCTGGCGTACATTTTGCGGCAAAAAGGCATGGTCCTGTCGCATAACGTCCATATTTTGAGGTTTATATAATTTTCGTTAATTTTAACAAGTTATTATTGTGTGTTAATTTTAGCTCACCTGAGTATGCACCTGTCTGTCTGTCCGTCCAAATTTAGCTTGTTACCACTCTAGCATCCACATACCCTAAGCGATATGTGCAGATTTATCTGCCCTTGAATTACAATATCTATAATATTTCACATTGTTATCACTCCAACGCTTTCATTTCTTCTTCAATCTTGACAATTTTCAACAGAATATCTATGACCATAAAATATCAACAAAGTTAGATTATAGGCTAAATCTAACAAAAAAAAACAAAAAAAAACAACAACAACAAAAACGCACTATATTTCACCTTGTTAGTGCATTCGTTTCTTCTCCATTCTTAAAGTTTTTATACAGAATATGTATAACAATAAGGTCTCGATCAAGTTCATTTATGAGCTAAAACGACTGAATATGTCAAGAGTTATTTGCCTTTGAATAATAAAAATAAAGACATATTTTTACAGTCATACATTTATGACAGGACGGGCATCTTGAATAGTTCAACTATAATATTGACCTTTAAATGACCTTGACCTCAAGGTCACAATTGAATTTTGCTTAAATAACCATATTTTTGTCATTTACAGATATTTGGATATTGATGACCATTTCAGACGTAGAATTGAGTACTGATATCAGTTACCCAGATTTTGACCAAGTGCATGAAATGTACTTGCCTTTTATTTGTAATATTCAATGCCTTTAAAGGCAGGTGGGCGATATAAGGCCACCATGACCTTTTTGCTTTGTTCAATTATAAAATAACATTGTTCAATTATAAAATTACATTATGGCATTCAAACAAAACGATTTGCACTCTTGCTCAAATATGACTAGGCGGCTAAAGCCCCTCCCCCATCACAACAATAGCTCTATCACTCAGATATGACAAGGCGGCTAAAATCTCCCTCCCTCGACAAAAGCTCTCTCTCTCTCTCTCTCTCTCTCTCTCTCTCTCTCTCTCTCTCTCTAATATGAATAGGCGGCTAAAAGCAATACCATCCCCCCCCCCCGACAAAAGCTCTCTTGCTCGACTATGACTAGGCGACTTAAAGGCCCCATCTCAATACATGACAATATAGCTCTCTCGCTCAAATATGACTACGCTGTCAAAAGCCCCAATCCATCCCCCGTAAAAATGAACGGTAGAACCAAACCTCCATAGTCAACAAGAACACAAAAAATAAATTTCCACTACTTGATGCAATTATATGAAAAGCTTTTGTCAAAGCAAAGCTTAATTTTAATATTTTTGTCATTCACTCAGTCCAATCCCCGGTCCGTCCGTCCGTATAGCCGTCATTTTCTGTATGTCTATAAGATTACATTTATTTCAATATTATCGTTTTTATCTCTGCTGCTGCTGCTTTGTTCCATTCCATAAAAAGATCTATTCGAAAAAATTCGGTTTAAGCATATTTCTTTTTTTTTAATAAAAAAAAGTCAGAATTATATAGGATCACAAAAATATTGCACTTTAATGTTTATTTCGTCATATCTTTACCTGAAACAATATGAAAGTGACAGAACCAATAAAAGTAACGTTTATAATGAATATATTTTAATACAGAAAATATGGACGATATGCGACGCAAAGGCACACTCTCGCCGCAAAACGTACCAAGTACGATATGCACCGCAAAACGTCCACATGTGTACGATATGCGCCGCAAAACGTCCACACGCGTACGTTTTGCGGTACGGACGTTGTGCGGTGTTACAAAGCTTCTCTGAAATATATCTTTCAAAACTCTAGTTATTGGCCTGAAACCGATTTTCTGTTTTATAGTACCAGTGACATTGACCCTAAGAAGGCTTACAGCAATGCTAAGCGAGATCTTCAAATAAGATTTACTATACACCAGTCTTCATTGAAATATCTCATTCCGAACTCTAGTAATTGACCGGATTTTTTTTCTATTTTTAGTAACAGTGACCTTTTGATCTAATGGTGCTCAAAAGCAACACCAAGGGAGGTCTTCATAAAGGTTTGCTTTACAGCATAAAGTCTCGTTTAAATATCTCATTTCATCTCGTTATTTACCGGAAACCTACGAGACCCAAAAGCAGACTGTTGAGCTGGTAGACATGCTTCTAACTAAATGGTTTCCATATAATTTCTATATGAAATATTGAGAAATATTAATAAAATGAAATATGTTTTTTCATTTTCCGTAAGACTGAAGTGAAGCATATTTTCTGTATTTTCACTACAGTGATACATATTTTCAGTATTTTCAATAATGTCTTGCCGGACTACTTTCTGTTAAATCCATCCACTATACAAAATTTAAGGAAAAGTCTTTAAGACTGTGATGTATAAAAAAAGAGAGAAATCGATATATAATCATAGAAAATTCAAGTTTTGTCTATAAATACAGGATTTATTTTCATCTATGAAAATTATCATATTTCACTTGTGGCTGCCGCTTCTTATGAACTATTTATTTTCATACCACTCGAAGAAAAAAATCCTGTATTTATAGAAAAAACTTGAATATCCTCTATAAAGTTTAGCTTTATGTAGTAGTTTTGATAAATATAATAAATATATGGAAATAATATAATAATAATATATATAATATAATATGATAATTAGATAAATAAAATATATCAAATCACAATATCTAGGGCACTTGATG